TATATGCTATCTAATAGGTCTAGAGGGAGCTTAGTCCCCTATCATTCTGTTACAGCATTTAAAAAATTATGAAATTTACATGTAAATTTATATAGAAATATTTTTAAGAAGGGGAAAAATAAGTTAGAACTCTCAAACATTTTGTTTCTATCACGCCTATGAATGACTTTTATCCTTTCCAACGGGACTTATCAACATAAATATTTATTTCAGTAACATAGTCAAAATTAAAAATATTAAATTATTTTTTTTTTATACATACTGATTTTTTAACACTAAAAGCTGTTAACTAAATAATGAGGTCCAGTGTTATAATTAAGGTGAATATATATATAAAAAAATGTGTCACTTTCCCTTGCACACAAAAAATGTTGTAACTTCGTCATATAATTATTTTTAGGGGGGTGTTATACCTATATCCTCCCATAATTGCGCCAGTGATAAGTTCTTGCAATAAAATTTTATGCTTAACTCGATAAGTTTTCTGTTATACTTATGCTACTTTGCAAAACATTTTCTTTCCGAATGATTATGATAAAATTGGTATAAATGCTTATAATTATGATAAATACGCTACTTTAGTTTAATAGAAATTATTGTTTACTGACTTCAATAATGTGTTTGTAAATTAATTCATATTAATTCATTGCAAATTTTATTATAAAATAATATTAATCGTTAATCAGTTAAAAAGTTTTTGTTTGATAGGATCAATCGAATATAATTATGTAATCAGATGCTCTCTCCTTAAAATATTTAATGCATTCATTTAATGACTATTAAGTAGCGTTGTACTGTAATATATATAACGAGTCGACCTCGACAGAGTGATGGCGTAAACTGATGGTTGTATTTTATATGTGATTTGGTTTAGGTCCAAAAAAATATAAAATGTTGTGTTTTAGCAATACTAGAAATCTTAATATTATTAAATCCTGATGACGTGCGAGAAAGAAAGCTTTGGTGACACAATAATGTTATTGTTTTTGACAAATATTACAATATAAATTTGGCTCAATTACTTATATAGTTATGAAATAGTAATATTTAATAAATGAACAGTACTAATAAACTTTCACTGTTATATTAACATAGTACAGAAAGTTTTTATGAAGGTAATATATTTTATCATCTACAAATTCTTAGGTAAAAAATACGCCAATAATGAAGGTCTTTTCAAAATGAATCATTACTTTTGTATTCTGTAATGTTCAATTGCAGAATGAGAGCTATGAATGACAATAATTTTATGATAGTTATATTTTATTGTTTACGCATATTTTTCACACAATCATGCTTTAAAATAATCAAGAAAAACTGTGTTCATTACTTTTTTCCATATACAGTGAACTCTTAGTGTAACTATTGAAGAATAAATAAAAAAAAATATTGTAGGAGTTTTTAAATACCTACGTTCTTGTTGACAATATTATGTTCGGCCATTGACATTGAAAATACGTGACCACGGATATCAGAAACGATAGTACGTGTGGGTACTTCTTAGAATACTACATTACTTTTAACGGGTTTACAAATATTTGCTATGACCATAAAAGGACTTGGATGAATACTGTATTTATCTTAAAATTACTATTTTTTTCTATAAAATAATAAAGAAATTTTGAATAAAAATATAAGAACTGTTATCAATTAAGGTTCTATTGTAAAAGTACAACTTTATGGACTGAATTATGGACCTCAAATAGGACGTTTGTTACAAGCACACACATCATTTTTTACAATTTTAGATTTCTTTTATTCTTTTATATACAAAAATAAATTATTTAGAACTAAAATTTTACAAAATATCAATGTATATTAAAATTAAATGTGTTTTGACCAAAACAATAATGAACAGGTACGTAGTTAAGGAAGGATTAGGTAAGGATTTAATGCTAATACAAATATTTTTCATATGTTCAAATTATATTAAAAATAAAGAGGGAGGTTTTGTATTTACCCCTACCACGTAAACAATCTTATCTATGCCTCCGCAATAAAAATGTTTTGTTTTTGCTAATGACATCGGTACTAATCATATATACTCTGATGAAATTATTATGTTTAATAATATAATAATAAATTTTAAGCATTTAAGAAAGTATTATTAAAATTAAATTCCTTGTAGATAAAAATAGTACCAAATAAATGGTACATTTGATGGACAGACGGCTTGAAAAAATAATTACGATATGTTTGTTAACCCTTAATTTGGTAGCTAAAGCATCTAACTTAGAAATTTAAAAAATCAATATTACTTTTTAGAGCTTTAATATTTTTCTTAATGTTTTTACTTTAACTTAAAGTAGTTTTGATTATTAGTTTTATATTTTGTGTATAAATAATTTTCACTATAACTTTTTATCAGATAATCTAAAGTAAAGTCTCATAAGACATTATTCAGCTATAAAATATTTTTCTCGAAACATATAAAATATATTGGCCAATTATACAACATACAATTATTAGATTGTTATAATGAAATAAAATAGACAAAAATTTGAAACAAATTGTCAGCGCGTAATATCGAAATATTAGCCGATTATAATTTAAAATGGCTCTACTTCAAAATTCTCAACAGCAATTAACGGAATTTCCTCTAAGTTTTGCTTGGACTTTGTGGTACAAAGAGAAGAGCGGCCACGATGAAAATAATTGGATGAACAATATCAATAAGTTGTTCGAAATACTCTCAAATATACAATTTCTAGCTGTTTACAAACAAATCAAAATACCTACGGCACTTCCAATAGGTGCAAACTACTATTTTTTTAAGAAAGGTATCATACCTATGTGGGAAGTTGAACCCAATAAAGGTGCTGGAGCATGGGTGGTTTTGTTGAAATCCCGTCATGAAAATACTGATCTTGACTTCATCTGGTCCGATATGATGTTTATGTTAGTCAATGATAGAAATGGTCACCTAGTAAGATATATTTGCGGTATTACGTGTAACTTTCGAAGCGGCAATCATAAAGTTGCTATATGGACGGTAAAAACGACTGCTTGTAACATAAAGTACATAATGGAAATCGGGGAAATTCTGAAGAAAATCATTAAAAATGTTTATAGATTCATATACATTAAATACAGAATGCATGAAAAAATTAACCCACTGGAATTTGATTATTCGATATGAACAGAAATTGTACAATTATAAGTATTTAAAAAGGGCCCAGAGAAAATATTAACATTTCGTAAGCTTATAGAGTTAATTCTGTTTATAAAACTAATCAATTCAATTTAAATAAAACTAAATTTAACTATTAAATAACTGTTATTTTTGAGTATCTATTATGTAATATAGTAGTAATAAGAGACACTTTAAATAAGGAAATAATTTAAAACTATTTTGCCTAGTGTTCCATAAATTGAACCTAGAAATAGTTTTATGCAATGTTGTTAAATAATTGCGTGAAAAAATAATAAAAATGTATAGTAATGATATCATTATCTAATAGTTTTAATGTATAAAGATCTATTGAATCAGTGTAAAAATTTCATGTAGGGCCAAGTTTAAATGTAAAATTTAAAGTCAAGAATTTTAATACAAAAATATCATGTTTTTTAACTTCGGCAACCATTTGAACAAATATTTATCCGGATAAATATAAGTATGAAACAGAAGCTTTAATTAAAAATTATTTAAATAATGTAGTGCTTTCAAAAAATTTTCAAAAGTTTCTACTTTGAATTCTCCTGGTAGGTGTAAAGGGTCAAATTTTCAAAAATATATACAAAATGAAACGCCTAATATATAATTATTTTATATCTTCAATTAGATACAATCTTTTGATGCATCTAGTGTAATAATCAGATAGAGAAATAAATGGGCTCTAGGGCGCAATAATGAGTCGGGGCTTCATCTCAAAAAATTATGGCAGGGGGTAGTAGAACAGTGGGGACATGGTATAGTTAGGTCCAGTATAGATGATATTTGACAGTGATTAAAATCACTATCATAAAAAACGCTTCGGTGTAAATCTGTAGATAGTGTTTAATTTTAAAAATATTGGGGGATTATTCCAAAAGGAGGACTACAGTGATAGGGTCAATAATATTTATTAAAGTTATTGAATCTAAATGAGATAAAAATCAAATGATTTAAAAATTTTTTCTAATTCAAAAACTTTTTTAAGATATTTTCAAGTAAAATAAAATACAAAATCGAAAATTTTAACACAAGAATAGCATACGGTCATTTTCACTATGAAGATAAAATAAAGTACAAAAAATTGTTATTTCCATAATAAATTATATTACATAAGCTTTAATTTAATATATATATAAAAGTGTCAGTATTTCCAGAACACTTCCAAAAGTTTATCTGAAAAAGTTATTTTTTTGTGAAATGATTGTCATTTTGAATCCTCCCTGTAGGCAAGTAAAAGGTCAGATTTATAAAAAAAATATACAAAATGATATGTAAGTACCTCACGTATCTTTAAAAAAAAAAATTATATAAATTTGGTCATTTTTAATATAGTTATGGCAGTTTTAAGTAAAAAAATTTCAAAAATTAGCGATTTTTAAATTTGTAATTTTTTTGGAGATTTCCTCCATTTATGGGGAACGATGGAATTTTTTCAATTTTTGAAGGTAATGTCTTCGACTAGATACGATTTGTGATCTTTTGACATATCGTTGAAAGAAATCGGTTTAGTGAGAGCTGAGAAAAAGTGGTATCAGACACACAAAAAAAAAAGTAAAAAAAAAAAAAACACATCATAGTAAAATTAATACCTTCTCATCTTCGCATCGAAGCTAAAATAAAAGTTTAGCGTAGCCTTAGAATACACAAAATCTTGTATACTGAAATTTTTAAGATTATAAAAATTATGTTGTCTTAGAGAAACAACATGTTTAAATGAGGTTTTATGTAAGTTTATGTATTGAAATATGAATTTTGTGTTATGAAAATTGATTACTTTGTAATAAGTAATAAAAATAATTATATTTATTATAATATTTAAAATATCTTTATATTTTTAATATTTTAGATTAAAATAAAACTACTACAATGTACGACAACAAATTATTATTATTAACGATAAGTCTGTTTGTTATTGTATACGGAGCACCTGAAGATCGTAGAAAATTTGTTCGAGTTATAACTGAACCTAAGCCTGGTGAAGAATATGTCAGTATTCATACAGGAAAACCTTCAGCTGGAGCAGTACAAGAAAAATCCTTAGGTATTATTTATACAAAAAGATTTAAATTTTGTTTTTATTGTTAGTAATATCTATAAATGCCATGTTTTTAATGATAAATAAATGCCTATTGATACTGTTGTAAAAGTATAAATTTTCTTTTTGAGTAGACGATCAAATGAATGTAAATATACGTGATGAAGGACAGATAGGAGTAAAAGACATAACAGCATCAGTATCACAAGATGAAAAAATTTTTGCAGTAAGTAAATGATTAGAAATAATTTTTCAAAGTGAACAAACGTTATATATTTCAATAATATTTAATCATTAATTAATAATTTTTATTTCAAAGATGATTCTTTAATACTTATAAATAAAGACTTACACAAGTTTCATATGCTATATGTTATAAAATATTATAATAAACTTGAGCAAATTTTAATATATTACGAATTAATGTTTTAGACTCTCCATTTTACGATGATAAATATTAACAAGTATTGTAGGAAATTTATTTAATTCTATAGAATTATTAGGAGTACTCTACATACTCTATCCAATTTTATTATTGCATATATAAAATATTAATAAAGATTTGTTTTGTAATAGAACAAAAAAGTACACCCTACATATGAAGAAATATCAAGAAAATCAATACCTCCGAGAAAGTTCAACCTTATGAAATCTGATGAAACGATTAACACACAGCTTAATAATAAATTAAAGTATGTCTAGAGTCTATGACTTATCAATTTGTATTAATTATCAAAAACTGTTTTAAAAAGAAATAACAATAAAGATCAAACAAATAAATCTAAAATTCAAGAAAATAAGGAAGATGATGGTTTATATGATTTTGTTGATTCACCATTTGGAGGTCAACTTGTTGGCTCTGCTTCCTCACAAGCATCAAGAGTTAATATAAAAAAAGCTCCTAATGGTCAGGAATATGAGTATGAGTATGTATATTACTACTATGATGAAGATGATGAAAAGTCTGGATCTAAAAGTAAAACTTAAAAATAAAAATTTTAATGATAATAGAAATAAAAAATAATTCATTGTCTTGTAGCTGAATCAAATACACCAAATTCACTAACTAAACTAGAGAAAGACAGTAAAGAACGAAACAAAACTAAAAAGCCAACAGTGTTAGATGAAAATAAATTTATCCTAAGTACAAATAATGACAGGTAGGTAGTACAAATATATTTTTTTATTCTTTTGGATAAGAAAATGTTTTTTTTTTATATTTGCAATAAAGATTCCCCAAAGTTGAAGATCATTCTGTAAGAAAGGAACCAGAAGAAGGCCCTGCAAATTTTGTTATTAATGATATACCAGAACGCCATTTGAAAACAAAGTATAACTATTTATTTTGATATTGAAACATAAATATATATGACTTTAAAACTAAATATTTCTTTTTAATCCAGCAGTTATATCAAATAATTGAGGATTATAGATTCTACCATTTTTATCTAAAGTATAGTGAAACCATTTTCCTTGAACTTTCAAAGGAATAGTCTGATTACTGGCATTTCTTCCTATAGAACAGCTTACCTAAAATAATTTAAATACTTTAGACTAATAATTTTGTTTTTAATGATTTCTAAAAAATTGTAGAAATTTAAAAATCACGAACCCTGTCCAATGGTATAGTTGTAATTATATTCTTATTAAAAGGCCCAAAAGATGTAATGCTGAGATGTTTACCACCTTTGCATAAAACCAACATTTTTATAGACTTCACAGTATAAACTCCACAAATAGCAATCAAAATTAAACCTGCAAATAATGTATATTATAAAACTCATATAGATAAAATTTAACATGAATAGTTACATCTTTTGGAGTGATCTTTAAAATTTGTATATTTTACTTATTATCAGCCAAAAGACATAAATGTTTTGATACAAATGTATTTCCAAGTAGAGAGGGTACTTTAATTTGACTTTTTATTTGTAATTCTTACCCATACAAACACAACCTATTGGTATACCAATTGTTACTAATTTTCCTTTGGCTTTCAACTTATCCATCCATACCACAGATCTCGTTTCATTTTTGTCATTGACATTTCGATTTAATATTGCATAATATGAATCAGCTACTGTTAACCAAAATCCAAATTGTATTACAGCAAATATACTTATCATTTTATATGTTCTGTCATTTGATGACTTAAAAAGAAGAACATCTTTAGGAACATTAGTATCCATGTCAAATATTGACTCATTGAATCGTTTTGTATTGATAAATTTGACATCTTTTTTTAATATTTTATGTATTATATTAAAAGTATTACGCCCTCGAATAAAATTAACACACGGAAAAGTCAAAAAGCACCTAAAAATTTGATAATGAATCATTTTATTTTAGATTTTAAAAAGTGCATTTAAAGTTAAAATTTTTGCAAATATTAAACTATACTTTTTTTAAATAAAAACTAATGACTTTTTGAATTAATATTATCACTAATTTTTATCAGATAACACATGTGCGAAACATGTCTATGAAGTTAAGGTCGCCATACTTTACTATTCACACACAATGTTTCTGATTATTGAGTCGAAAACGTTTCAGATGTTGTCCGCAAGAGCGCCGTTTTAATCATTTTTTTAGAAATTATTGAATATTTTCAATTTTTGTAAAGGAAAATACTGTTTCTCTTTCCTTTACTGTTTACTAAAAAACCCAACAATAATACATAGTTAAATAATTTTTTTATCCCTAGAGAAATAAAAAAACTAAATTTTATTTTTTTTATTATGGGAACCGCATTCATGGTTTGAATATATGATAGAAAAAGTTTTGTAGTAATGTTTTTTTTATCCAATAAACTGTTAGCATTTTAAAATTACTTAAAGATTTACATTTGAAATAGAAATTCATTATGCATTTCGTTTTAATAATACCGAAAGTAACAATAATTTTTTTCAATAAACTATAAACAGAATTACAAACAAAAATAATTTTTTGTTGAATCCTATATGCAATTTCACACTTAAAAATTTATAAAAAGAATTATTTTTCTTGAAATTTTCCAAATTTTTTTGATAATGTTATAAAATATTTTTGCGAAATTTGAGGTAGCTACAACAAGTTTAAACTGTTTTCTTGTTAGTTTTAAACTTGTCTAAACTTTAGACTAGTTAACTTTAAACTCTAAAGCATTCATTTATCACGAAATTAAGGTGTACTTTTCGCTTAAACTTCTTTTTATTTAACTGCCAGTTATAAATTTATTAATATAAAATAGATACTTAGGATTTTAATAATGTTATTTATTGTCTTATTATTAAAAACTGATATGTTTACTACAAATAAAATATAAATGCGTAAAACTCGAAATTTTGTAAAAATTGTTGTTATATTTACTTTTTCATAGGAGTTATATTTAAATTAAGTCAATCTATATTAACGAATAATAAAAATAATTTTTATTATTCGTTAAAATAATTATTATTTTGTTATTATTTATATCTGTCACTACTTTTTCTCAATACTGGATCGATTTTTCTCAATGGTAAGTCAAAGGATCACAAATCATTGACGAAATTACCCTTAAAAATAAAAGTTTTTTCCCTAGTTTCTCGTAAATGGTAGAAATCCCTCCAAAAAATTACGATTTTTAATATAGAACAATTTAGAAATTTTTTTTTAAACTGCCATAACTTTTTGAAAAATGAACCAATCAATATCAATTTTTTTTGTACAAAAATATGTTAAGTATCTTTTTTGAAAATCTGACCTTTTGTCCAGTGCTCGAATTGGGGGGGTGCGCAGGGGGACGGAGCTCCTCTACTTTTTTTTAAAATTTTTTGCGCACCCCAACTACTTTTTTTTATTGGGCCGGGAGGACGGTGGAAAATATAACCGCATTTTTTTTTTTAAGTATAAATTTAAATTGTGATCAATTTTACAATTTAAAATATTTTGTAATCAAATAATTTTAGCTTCGATGCGAAGCTGAGAAGGTATTAATTTTACTATGATGTGTTTTTTTTTTATAATTTATTTGATATATTTCATTATAGTATGATATTACAATAGATCTTATAGTTCAGTGTTCTGTAATATCGTGTATATGGTAATATATCACAGAACAACATAACATAACAAATAATATACATATATGTCGCTGAGCCTCATGTTATCAGTTTCAGTTATCACTCATAGAGTTTTCACACTTTATCGTTGTTTATTTATTGTTTTCCGACTAAATAAAGTAATGAGTAAAAAAAAAAAAAGGTCTTCAAAACGCTGGGGACGCAGTTTTCAAATTGTTAGGTTGAGCTCCCCTACTTATTTTTCAATTCGAGCACTGCTTTTGTCTAAAAAAATGTATTACGACACCTTATCTGCCATGACAAATTGCTACCGTAGTTAAAAAACATGCTATTATGTTGATATTTTTTGTTTGGAAATATACAACAATTTTTTAATTTATCATAATTTATTATAATTTCTCTGTAAAATTTACATTATTAAATTATTGAATATCAATTTCATACTAAGTTTAATTACTATAATTAGAATTACAAATTACTAAGTATTTATTCATGTATTATACTTATAAATCAAATAATGATTATTCAGAATATAACTAAGAAAATTGGAGTTGATTTTAGAATAATCCACCATATTCTTAAAATTAAACAATATCTATAGTTTTTTTTTTGTCTGTCGCTAGGTTTTCTTATATTTTAATAGACTGATTTTCCTTAACATTACATCACAAGAACACAAGTTGTATCTAGTTATAAATATTTCCCTCGTTTTGAATAAAAGGTAAAAATTCCCAATAAAATTATGATTTATAAAATCGGTAATTTAAAATAATTCTTTATGTTTTTTTTACTTAAAACTATCATAACTTTTATATACATAATTGGTATTTCTATTTTTTTATATATAATTTTTAAAATTTTAATCTTTATCTTCCCTCAGTAAAAGCAAAATAGCAACTTTTTATAAAATAATGGTTTTTATAATTTAACTTTTAAACAAGTTTTGCAAATACTTCATTACTGTAAGATGTTTAAGCAGGTGACCATTTCCTGTCAGTAGACCAGTCAGAGTACTTATTTGATGTCTAGTCATGCTATTAACTGGCAGTTAAATAGAAAGAAATTTAAGCGAAAAGTACAGAATAATTTCGTGATAAATGAATGCTTTAGACAAGTTTAAAATTAACAAGAAAACAGGTTTAACTTGTTGCAGCTATCTCAAATTTCGCACAACTATTTTATAACATTATCAAAAAAATTTGGAAAATTTCAAGAAAAATAATTCTTTTTATATATTTTTAATTATGTAATTGCATAAAGGATATTTATAATAAAAATGCGATCTAAAATGTGTAACATGTCCAAAATGTGGTAGGTGGAGATATGAGAGGCTCAAGAAAGATTCCTGGAATTTGCAGTATCGTATGATCTTACTATGGTTAATACTTATTTTAGAAAGAGGGATGAACATTATATAACTTATAAGAGTGGGATTAATAGCAGATTCTAAAATAGAGCTTCTGTTGCTACAAGTTAAAAAAATATTTTTTCCGATACCTCATTTTTTATATACAAATAGTTGCTATAGTTAAAAACGTGTTATTTTTGTATTAAAATTCTCAATTTTATAAAATATACATATTTTATATTTTGAAATTTATATTACTATAATTTTTTTAAGGATTTATGAATCAATACAATTTTTTTTATTAGTACTTTACAAATTTTCTTCTCATCCTTTTTTTAAAAATCTGACCACTTCTAACAGATAAAAATTAATTTTTTAAGGGATTCTGGACGTAACCTTGAAGAAGCTCTATCGTTACCATCCCCGTCTGTTTCCGAAGAACGCCTTCCATCTAATGCAAGATTCCCAGTTCGATCTCGTGGTAACTCAAGACCTACTCAAGAAAACGACACCCAACAAATTACAGACTCTGCTATTACTCGAGTTAACAGCGGTATTTTAATTAAAAATTTGATAATAAATTTTTACAATTTTATTCTTATGGTTAAATATTTTTATGTAGCCTCACAGCCAGATTCTGATATAGTCAATAGCAATACATTTAGATCGCATTCTAACGATGAACAGTTTATTGTTACTTCACCAAGACGTGAATACCAGAGAGGTAAAAAATTATTACTGACATATACGTGTTAAACCGGGTAATACTTAACACTTTAACTAAAATGTATTCTTATTGTAAATAATTATTAGTTTTGGTGGTATAACTATTTGATATTCACAATCATTATATTGTTTGAATTTTTATTAGAGTAGTTCAATATACATTGTGATTCATTAAGTACAGGACTTCTAATTTTTCACAAAAATTAGTCGAAATTTAGCACATGGCTGGTAAAATATACGTAAAACATTATTAATAATGAATTTTTTATAAATAATATTTATTTGATTAATTTTTACAGATAAAATTAGATATTCATTGTAGGTACATTTACCCCCATATATTTTTTTATATCTATATTTTTGTATTTATAAATTATATTATGTGGTAATTTTTAAAACTTAAATGATACCCCAAAATAATTAAAAAATATTTCTGAAAATAATACTAAAATAGTGACAGGTTAATAATTTTTTTAAATTATAAGCTTCAAAGTTAGATAAAGTAAAAATTAATCATTATTAGTAAATGTTTTACTTTATAATTGAAATAATTAAAGAAATTTTCAGAAATTAAGAAAGAAGGTGTTGACTTCTGAATGAAAATTGTTTTATAATTTATTTTAATTTGTTAGTCTATTTTATTGATTGGCTTTAATTTATCAAATAATCAGTCAATATTATTGTGTAGAATTTATTCTCGGATAATTTAAATTAAATTATTGATTTATCAGATACAAATCAATTTTTTTTTTAAGATTTTAATACAAATATTATTTATTTATATTTTTTTAAATGCATTGAGTTTGATTATGCAGCACACTTTTTTACTACTTAAAATATTATGTTCTCCTTAACTAAATTAATCACAATGTGTTTAGTTGACTCCCTAACACCATTTAATGTGGGTTACTTGTATTTTAATAATTAACTCTGTATTGGGTTATATATTTATTTTTAAATTCACCCATTGAGTGATAAACAGTTAAATTAGCTCAAAGGGTCAAAGGAAAGCTAGTTAACAAAAGGAGAAAATCACATTTTCAGATGCAGTGGTGCAAACAACAGCTGTAGTAGCAGATCAAGCAGCCACTACTAATAATGCTTATAACACACAGCCTACAGAAACGGTAATTTCGGTTGTAACCGAATCCGTAGTAAGCTTAGATCGGAATCCAGACAATACCGATATGGACAAAAAGGGTCTGTCTTTGACAACGACATTACCTCCTGATGAGGTTATCGCCGTTACTACCCAACTTGCAGGTTCGCGTTGGATGTATAATGCTAACATACTAAAATAGTAATCACATGCCTGCTGAACTGCTTTTTAACATTCTAATATGGCTTTATAAGTATTATCTTTATGCGCTTTTATTCTATTGGAAGAATATTTTTAAATGCATTAAAATACTTGATTTCCAAATGTAAATAACTAAAATAAAATATTTTTGTAATATCTATTATTCTATACTAAAACTGTGATTCATTAAATGACTACAATTGCTCTTAATGTATCTGCTAAAATTCTTGCAAAAAAAAAATTAATTAAAGTTTGTCCCATATATTATATTCTACTTATATAAATATTTAAAAATAAACTAATTTAATAAAAATTATAAACTTTATCTGCAGTTCCAATTAATTTATTAGAAATTATGATGTAGAATTTGCTGACTATAACTATTTATTATTGTGAAGACTGTGTGATCTATCACTCCATAATCTAGTTTTTTACAATACTAAAGAATCCAAACAGAATCCAACCTAAAGAAACACAAACAATGGACTAGTTAAAATTCTAAAATATAAAATCCAGAATTTTAACACAAAAATAGCATACGGTAGCCATTTTCATCATGAAGACAAAATAAAGTCCGAAATTTTTTTTTTCCATGTTAAAGTATATTACATTAGCTTTAATTTAAGATATATATAAAAGTGTCAGTAATTCTGGAACATTTTAAAAAGTTAAGTTGAAATAGTAAATTTTTTTTTGAAAACGTTGTCATTTTAAATCCCCCCCTGTGGGCAGGTAAAGGGTCAGATTTATAAAAAAATTATACCAAATGATAGGTAAAGACATCATGCATCTATAAAAAAAAAATTTTATTGATTTGATCATTTTTCAAAAAGTTATGGTAGTTTTAAATAAAAAAAATTTAGATATATTTAAAAAAAAACCCAGCACAGGGGGGTCGCGGCAAAGTGGTGACGTGGCCTAGTTGGATCAAGAATAATGATATCTGACAGTGATTAAAATCACTATAAAAAAAAAAACGCTTCGATGCAAATCTTCAGATAGTGTTTAATTTTAAAAAATTGGTGGATTATTCCAAAAGCTTCATAAACTGCTAGTTCCTTATTAATATCCTGATTAAGATAAAGTATGTCGAATGAAAAAGGGATTATTAAAAAATAGTATTTCCCATAAAAAAATTATATTGATCAATACACTTTTCAATAAGTTATAGCATTATAATGTTAAAAATGTAAAAAATAAAATTGAGAATTTTCACACAATAATAGCATTTGGTAGCCATTTTCACCGTGAAGATAAAATAAAGTCCGAAATTTTTTTTTTTCATGATAAAGTATATTACATTAGCTTTAATTTAAGATATATATAAAAGTGTCAGACTTTCCGGAACACTTTCAAAATTTAAGTTGAAAAAGTAAATTTTTTGTGAAAAAGTTGTCATTTTAAATCCCCCCCTGTGGGCAGGTAAAGGGTCAGATATAAAAAAAATATATACCAAATGATAGGTAATGATATCATGCATCTATAAAAAAAGAATTATATTGATATGTTTATTTTTAAAAAAGTTACGGCAGTTTTTAGTAAAAAAAATTTCGATAATTAGCCATTTTTAAATTTGTAATTTTTTTTGGAGGTTTCCCTCATTTACGGGGAACGAGGGAAATTTTTTCAATTTTTAAGGGCAATTTCTTCGACTAAATACGATTTGTTATCTTTTGACGTATCATTGAAAGAAATCGGTTCGGTGAGAGCTGAGAAAAAGTGGTAACAGACACAAAAAAAATGTTGAAAATTAGCAATTTTTAAATTTGCAATTTTTTTTTTAGATTTCCCCCATTTACGGGGAACGAAGGAAATTTTAAACATTTTTGAGCGTAATGTCTTCGACTAGATAGATTTGTGATCTTTTGACGTATCGTTGAAAGTAATCGGTTCGGTGAGAGCTGAGAAAAAGTGATAACAGACATAAAAAAAAAAAAAAACGCACACTTAGTAAAATCAATATCTTCTCAGCTTCGCATCGAAGCTAAAAGTGTACATGACTTATATTTATTTTTAAATTTTGTTCACAAAAAATAGAACATTTTTGACATGTAATTTATGTTGATAATCATGCAGTTTTATGTTTTATTGAACCTTATTAATAGTAAGTGTTAAATTGGCCCGAAATGGATTTTTCAGATTTTTTAGGAGCTTCATATTTTTGCATAACCTTTTTTTACATTTGTTTTGAAAAAAAATCCTTATTTCATATTTTTACCCTAGCTATTTTTAGCATTACCCAGCACGGCTAAGAGCATTTATTTATTCATAAACAGGAATGAGTTTTTTTGTATCTTTTTCTAATTTAACTGTCTTTAAACCAAGAATACAACAAAAAAATAATATTTCAGAATATATTTTTTAAATGGATTTTAATTTATTTGGCATAGGTCTGACAGACAAAGGAGCTGTTGACTTGTATGCAATTTTACAACAAACTCGAAGTGAAGAAACAGCGAACACCATATTACCCTTTGAGCAATCAACGAGATTTGACGATAACGATACTCCATTCCCAACAACGTTACGTTTAGTTCCAACAACAACCACTACCACCACAACAACTACTACTACTACAACTCCAGCTCCAACAACTACTACAACTACAATTTTGGCTCCTACTCGTCAATCTGGATTAGTACGTAATCGCTACAGGGGCGTAGTTGGCAATAGAAATGGTATAACATCATCTACTACCACTACCACAACTACTGAACAACCCACTAATAATGACGGAGTTACGGAGAGACGTAAATTTAAACCCAGTAGGGATCGAGTAACTCAAGTAATAAAAAATTATATTTAAGTAGATATAAAAAAAATGTTATCACCCATTTTGTATTTAGGGACAGTCCATTTACAGTAAGAGATATCATTCATCGACAGCAACTCTAGACAAAGATTCAACTACAACCGAAAGCGAGGTGGTAACTAGAGCAACAAGTAAGTAGATGTTTTCTAGTTTATATTTTCTACGTTTTCAATTTGCATTAATATCTTAGAACATTCATTTGGTCGCCAACGAACGCGTTCAAGCAAGCCTCAATCGAGCACTGTATCTATTGATGAGACACCAATTGAAGTAACTTCAGCTGTACCAAGACCAAACTTTGCTGATAGGTTCAAATAAAATATTATGTCTATATTAATTTATTTATTTAATAAAAAAAAATATATTTTCTTAGATCTAACTTGAGAAAACAAAATAATAGAAACAAATTCACAATATCTACTACAGCAGCAACTGTTACTCTAGCAACAGCAGAAGATAACGTTGCAAATAGCCAAGTTGCTGAATCCGAATCCTCTGAACCAATTTCGACAACTTCAAAGGCTATAGGGTAGGTCATTAAAATAATTGAATTTTAGATTTTACTATTGTAACTAGAAACTTAAAAATAGTATAATTGAAATAATTTTCATAGAAACAGACTTAAACCAAATATAAGACCATTGAGACCCGGGTTAAGGTTAGGAAGCAGCGGACGAGGTTCATCGACTACTCAACTTCCAATCACATCAACAACTCAAACATTGGCAGTCGAAATTTCATCTGAAAACGAAAGCAAAGTAATTTTTAATATGATCGTAACTAGGGTTTTAAAATTTCATAATATTTAGGATGTTTTCTTAATTAGGTCTTCCGTAATATCTTCAGTGTTATAGAATATTTATTTATTCTTTTAATAAGTTATAGTATCTTATAACATTTTTCAATTTAAAATATAAATTTCGTATTTTCCCTACCTTTTATTCTTTGAAGTTATAATAGAGTTTTTTTAAAGAACACATTTTCATGTTGAATTCAATAAGAAAATGATTTATTTTTTAATTATTATTAATATATTCAAAAATGATTATCAGTCATTCTCTTAATTCAATTATTTCTTTACTTGTAAACCAATTAAATATGTATTTTAATATTTAGAAGTTAATACGGATAAAATAAGACTATAGACATATTTTCAATAATATTGCTTAAATAAGGATGTTTAGCTTTGATGCAAAGCTGAGAAGATATACATTTTTCTATGAATTGTTTTTTTGTATCTATAGATATAATTGTTAGCTTCTACTGGAACAATATTATTTATCAATAGCCAAAAGATCACAATTATAAATAGTTGAAGTTAAATTGGCCATAATTTTAACGATTTCTCTTCGTTTTCTATAAATGTGGAAAAACCACCATTTATGTAACTTTATGACTTTGATATTTTCCGAGTTATCCAGTAGATATACCAATTTGTTTTTCTAATAGACTGATTAGAGAAGCTAAACATAATACAGGATAACATAAAGATAATTTTATAAAAAAATATTTTCATGGAGAGGGAAATTATATTTAACCCTTTTAATATTTTTTCAAACTCAATCTATTGTTATTTGTCATTGCTTAAGTATATATTCATTTACGAAAATTAATTTACTGTACACCTTGAACAGCAGTCATTTTACATGGATTAGCTTTTAATTCTGCCGCTTTATAAGCTGAACAGTATTTCTGTATGATTTTCGACATAATTAACACCACTCCGTTTTATTTTTCTTAGATTTAATTTAGTCTATGAACTTATTTTTTCCACCACACTTAACACACCTTTGTTTTGCAGCAGTACTTTGTATATGATTAAACAATTGTCATTTTTTGTATTGTGGGACTTCTTTTTTCTTATTTTTTCGGTTATTCCACTCAAACTTTGTGTCGGCATGATTGTTTTACTTCATAAATATTTTTATTGTAAGTTTAAAGTTTTTAATTCGCAAAAAAAAAGAAAAATTATAGGGCTAATTTTCATTAGCACTATCACATTAGCACATTGGACTCAAAAATTCTTTTGTGGTTCTTTAACACATTTCAAATATTTGTTTTTTTAATTTTTTATTACTTTCTTAAATTTACTTACTTGTTTTTTAACATTTTATTGTCACCTTGCAGTTGTTTTAAAATGCAAGAGTTTATTGATTGTTATATTAACATACGATGAATTGCCGTTATGGTCAATTGCAATATTCTTGTTGCAGAATTTTGGTTGCATGCGTGACACTTAAAAAATATAAAGCTTGCTAATGCATGTGTACTTAGTATTTTTTTTTAATTTAATGACAAACCTTACATATATACGTTTAACGTAAATACGAGAATGAAATAAACGTATAGCTTGTTGTAGTAATGGCTATCCAATGGCAACTATCGTGTAAAATATAATTTTAAAGAGCTACCTTCAAAAATTCAAAATTGACATATTAATTGCTTGATAATTTGAAATTCATATATGTAAAAGAATATGTAGTGTTTTATGGTAAAGTATTTCTTGATGTACCGTAAAAAAAATATCAAAATATAATTCATCTGAGGTTACAAAATATTGTATGACAATAAATTATTTCAATTCTTGAGTAAAATACATACATAAGGAGTATTTAAAAATTCTTAATGGTAGGATCATATGGGCTTTTAGGGGCCATGTATCATCATGTATCTCCCTCTAATTACAAAACTGTTTTAAGAGGTTTATTAAAATAAATACTATAGTAGTTACCTTAATAACATTTTGATTTTAATTTTTTTTTATACAAGGATTCTATTCAAGAATCAAATAGTACAACTCAAACTACAGATTCTCTCTCCAGGTTTAAAAATAAGAACAGATTTAGAGTTCCTGAAAAACAGTCATACCAAGCACCGAGACAACAGATTATTGCTCCTGTAACAGGGCAAAATCGTAAAAATTTGCTGTCAAATTTGTTACCAAAGAAGAAATCTTTGCAAACCGAAGAACCCCCAATAGAAGAAATAAAACCAGTAGTAGAAAATGAACAAGATATTGATAATAATAGAGACATACAAAATGAAGAGGAACTGAACAGTCAACAAATCCAGGCCGCTAGTACTAGCAGTACAACAGAGGCTCCGACTTCGTCTACAAATCGATTGTCATCATTATTGGCAAAAAGAAAACCTCTACAAAGACGGCCAGCAGATCTTCAACTACAAAAAACCACTAATCAAGAATAGTAAAATCATCAAAACTGAATTGATTAGTGAATTTTTTGTATAATATTACACATGAACAGCACAGATCAAATATTCTATAAGTAATTTGTAAATATAGATAAATTAACTATAATTATTAAATGTAAATAAAAATTAATACTAATTTTTAGTCAAAACACTTTTACTATTACAATCGATTTTGTCGAATTAAATGATAAAACTTTTCCATTCTAATAATTTTTTTTACAAAATGTTTTATAAATGTTTTCAAAATAGATGTACAACTTTACACCTAGATTCAGGAAATTTTATTTTATTTTTTGATGTTTAAAATTGTATCCTTATTTTATTGATTAAACAAAATAAATATAAATATAAAAAAATAACAGCTTAACGGGTTTTTTTTATTTAATACATAGGCATTTTGTATAGTACATCTAGATTGTTATAGGTAATTTTAAAACTATCCTAGCAAATTATTAAAATAAGAATATGAATGCGTATTCTATAAAATATTAAATGTCATTATTATTGCTGTGTATTATCAATTATAAATGCGTTCATGTGAATTAATAGTTAAATAAAAATGTGTGCCATTATTGTTCATAATAATTTTTTTTTTTTTATTAACATTTTTAAACCATTTCTTCGTTTTATTATTTTAAATAATATGTGATGATGAATATCAATAGATTTTATTTTATGATAATGTAAAGTAATTTTTTTTGAAATACATGAAATAATGAATGCCACTATGTAATGCAAGTGTTTAAATTACAATAGCTATCAAATTTTCCTGTATAATATAAGTTTTCTTTGGTGAAGCAACATATTTTCAATAACACCCCCTAAGGTGTTTATGGAGAACAGAATTACCGGAAATTTTCGGAAAAAAACTTTGAAGAAACAGTTTTTTTCTGACATCTAAGAAAAATTGGATATTTATAAAAAATTGAAATAAATGTTTCAAAAATTGATAGCATAAATAAATACTGTTCTTTGAGGCTGGTTAGTGTAAAATAACCTTTTATTTTACACGATTACTAATATTATAATGGAGTATACTATACTCACTTATATAAAACTATCTATTAAATAGTTTAAATAAATATACCATCTATACACAATGATAATATGAAACAAGAGTTTGATAATCGATACCATAATGCCTATAATGGTCCTATTTGGGATTGTTTTATAAAAATAGATAATACCAAAAAAGTTAAATGTAAATTTTGTTCGTCTATGTATGCATTTTCTAATGCAACAAGGATGAAAGAGCACATTGGTTTATTATGTAGATGTTGCCTAAAGGTTTACAGAAAGACATTTTAAAAATCCTACCTAAATCTAGTAATGATAAAAAACAGCATCTTCACTGTGTTGATCAGACAGTTACTTCATTGAAGAATGTGTTGATAATTCTACTAGTTCTATTAACTTAGCACAAGAAGATAAATCAAAAGTAATTTATGATAAATATGATCAAAAAATATACTTGATAAAGATGTATTTTGGCCTTATGTTAACAGATTACTATAAATATTGTCTCCTATTAACCAGTATTAGAAAATATGAATCAGACAATTCTAAACTTTCTAAAGGGCATGAAATATTTTCAGCAATTGAGAAAGATGTTAGTGAAGGAATGGTAATTTCCCCTCTCACCACATCTGAAGAAAAAATGGTGCAATCTTTAATAATAAATAGAAAAAAATTTTGCTTATGCATAGTACATAGTGCTGATAAATATTAGATCCTAGGTATAAGAGTATTAATTTTAATTCTTCTGAAATATCTGATACTATTAAGACTATTTCATGAATTAGCGACTGGTTAAAATTTATCAGACTAGAATTTTAGTATATTTAGCAGAGTACCGAACAAATACAGGATTTTTTAACGTATAAAGTTTGGTAGAATTAGCTGAACACTTTTTCTGATATTTGGTGGAAAGGATTGGTAATCAATCTCTTTTTTGGTCTTCCTCTATCTCTTCTTCCTTCAACAATCATTTCAATAACTGTTCTTACAGCTTCCGATTCATCACTCCTCATAACATGTACAAAATTTTTTTTTTGCATAATAAAGAACATTACATTAGCTTTAATTTAAGATATATATAAAAGTGTCAGACCTTCCGGAACATTTTCAAAAGTTAAGTTGAATAGGTTAATTTTTTGTGAAAAAGTTATCATTTTAAATCCCCCCTTGTGAGCAGGTTAACGGTTAAATTTATGAAAAAAATATACCAAATGAAAGGTAATGATATTATGCATTTATATAAAAAAGAATTATATTGATTTGGTTATTTTTTAAAAAGGTATAGCAATTTTTAGTAAAAAAAAGTGAAAAAATTTCAAAAATTAACCATTTTTAAATTTGTAATTTTTTCGGAGGTTTCCCCCATTTACGGGGAACGAGGGAATTGTATTCAATTTTTGAGGTTAATGTCTTCGACTAGATACGATTTGTGATCTTTTGACGTATCATTGAAAGAAATCGGTTCGGTGAGAGCTGAGAAAAAGTGGTAACAGACACGAAAAAAAAAAAACGCATCATAGTAAAATTAATATCTTTGCATCGAAGCTAAAACACTTTTAAAGCACATCGAACTAAAAAGTTAAAAATAATTTTTAAAATAAGCTTAAAACAATAATGAACGAAAAATACTAGTATTATTGTAATAAAGCGTGAGTGCTTTGTGCCATATTTTCGTACATTGAGCGCCGGACGCTTTTATCACAATAATACTAGTATATTTCATTCATTATTGTTTTAAGCTTATTTTTAACTTTTTAGTTCGATGTTCTTTAAAAGCGTGTTTTTTTAGTTTTTAGCTTCGATACGAAGCTGAGAAGGTATTAATTTTACTATGATGTGTTTTTTTTTATGTCTGTTGCCACTTTTTCTCAGCTCTCACTGGACCGATTTCTTTCAAAAATACGTCAAAAGATCACAAATCGTATTAAAGTTTATTTTATGTACTATAAAATGAAAAAAAAATTTGTCTCGACGACCTATCTTCTATGCNAAAGTTTATTTTATGTACTATAAAATGAAAAAAAAATTTGTCTCGACGACCTATCTTCTATGCGAAAATGGCTACCGTATTCAAAAATATGATATTTTAATATTAAGGTTAATGTTGCTTTTGTAATTATCCATCAATTTCTTAGTATTAAACACTATCTACAGTTTTTTATCGAAGCGTTTCTTATGATAGTGATTTTAATCATTGTCAGATTAAATCTATACTGGTCCCAATTATGAAACGTCCCTACTATGCCGCGACCCCACTGTGCTGGATTTTTTTAAACTATATTTATTATAATAATATAAAGACTAAGATAATATACCAGTTACAATTTATTCTCGGCGATTAGATTATTTTATGTGTTTTGTAATTTTTACCGACGATTCAGTCGGCAACATGAAAACCATGGAAAATTTAGGTCACGATGCTAATTTATGGGGTCCTCTGAT